ATTTATCAATTATTAATTATATTTTCCACCGTTTTTATACTTTACATTTATAAGTTGACAAACATAATTTACACTGATTTGCTATTTTCAGTCTTAAATAATTATGAAACCGACAACCACCAACGAAACCGATAAATAATCCTACTGTAGGATTTCGGTAAACGACAATCGCGATTGAAAATTAATGAATTAAATCAGGACGTTCGAACGTTTCATGGGAAACGTCAGACGTCATCCGAATCGAGACTCAAACGAGTAGAAGGAGTCGTCGTTGTGTCAGCCGTCGAAACAAATCGCACAGAAAGTATGATGATTGCATTCATACGCGCAACTGCCCGCGACACCGAGAAAAGGGTCGCTGAAAGGGAACGCGTGATACTATCGACGCTATATTTTTTGTATTTTTCATTTTTTTAATTTTCTCTTGTCATCGGTAATTCATTAATAATAGATGAAATATTAGAAAGGGTCTCTGAAAGGGACGTGCAATTCTGTCGATGCTATATTTTTGAATTTTGAATTTTCTAACTTTTATTTTGTAAGCGTGTTGTGATCAGTGCTTGGTAAATAATATCAAATATTTTCTTTTTAATTTTAATTTCACTTGAAGTTTATTTGATAATATAATACTTGATTAAATATAATCTTACCTGGTGAAACGTCGACGGAGCACAGCGTTTGAGAAACGACCGCGATTATCAGGAACTTAGTACCCACGAATAACACCTGTTTGAGTGGACTACTCTCCATTCTCCCTAGTCACGATTATATTAACAACATGAAACTTTATCTTCAATCAACATGATCAAATTTTAATCGGATTCGAATGAAAATCATACGATTCTAATAACAATAAGCAAAATTCGTTTTTTTTCTCTTTATATTGTTTATTTATATTTATTACGATTCAATCACTGTACAATGTGAATCACGCTAACGTAACGCCGGTTAGAACACATCTAAACCTTCCCCGGGGAAGATTCACCCTTATATACCGATTGACATAACGCGCTCGTGTCGTTTCGTCGCTCCTTTTGTCTCACAATTTTTACGTTTACAAGTAATTCTGACGAGTGTGCTGTTTGCTTCCGGCGAATCACAGAAGAGTTACGATAAATAGTGGCGTGCACGAGGAAAAATAAACTGGACGTAATATATGCATTTCGAAGATTTGGTTCATGCGCTTTGACGATGGGAACGCTCGGAGCAGCCGTGCCTGTTGCCTCTACGCATGCTTCGCCTATTCTGAACCTCCTCTCTTGATATTTGATCTAAGGCATACATTTAATCTAAAGCAGGATCCATGGAATAACTATTACAGGGAAAACAGGCTGGTCCGTTTATTATTAACCTCTCTACTTTATTCAGGAACAACGGGAGACCGTTTATTTCCACTTGCTCGACAAGCCACGATACTTTCCGGACGAGAATTCCTTGTCCTCTTGAGCGCACAGCTCTTCGTCCAAGAGCAGCTCGAAATTCCCCAGTGCTTCCGGTGGCGGACACTTGTTCCATTTTACACTTTTTTTTTTTTTTTTTGGAGAACAATCGTGTTTTTAATTAAAAGCTGAAAAGCCTCGTTTCACAGGGGCAAACGTGAGACTTACTCTGGCACTCCATCCGGAGGCACGACGATCGATATTATGTTGTCGATTAATTTGTATTTCAGAATTCGATCGTTCACCGTCGTGGAGGTCAGAGACGGAGACGCGTTCACCTGAAAATGGAAACCAATTAGTTGGAATGGTGTTAAAAAACTCGGCTACGATTGTAAGAGAACCTCAATGAGCCATGGTTTTAGATCGTTATCGATTATGATATCGTAGCCATAGCACTCGAAACAGTGTCGATCGTTCGCCATAACCGGGGCGACAGCTTTCAAAGAGTGTACAATACACCAAGTGATATTTGCGAACAACTTTTCAGTCACCGCTTTTCCACGCGTGCTCTCTAAATACAGTCTCAAATTGTGCACACTTAATTTTCCACCGTGTTTGCTATTATACTCCTCCTGTAATAGGAATATTTTTATTAAACATTTATGCAGCCTGTTTCATTAATTAAAAATCAAAATTTACTTACACCATGTTTTTGCACGGATACATTTGTAAGATGAACGTACATGTTGTCTAATTCTTGAATACTGGTGTCGTATTTCACCGTACAAAAACGACAAAATCCAAGCTTGAACAAGTAAGCTTTCAACGGTCGAAAGGATGTAATAAGAACGTATAATCGAAGATCAAATTTTTTGCCTCCAATCAAGAGTGGATTATCAATGTATCTGTGTGTTTATAATAAAAATGAAAGAATTAGCTTTAACTTAGATAAATGTAAAGTTATTTTCCTTTTTACCTAGAAATTACGTATGATTCTTTGGTTAGATTAGGATTGAATGGGTTTTTTGCTTCTCGAGACCATTTCTTCAATTTACTTAATTTGTTAATTAAGAATATCCCAGCACCTTGTGATTTTCCGCATGGCTTCATGATCCACGTGCTCTGCGGCGACTTCCGGTATTCTTCCACGAACATGTTATAATCTACAGACATGTCACATCGTTTTAAGCATTTTAATTATAATAATAATTCCACGAATGATACTTTGCCTGCAGGTAAAACGAATGTGACTGGAATAAAATCGAGATAAAGATATTTTCCTGGAATATCTCCCTTTTCTGCCAGTGGATTTCCCTCGCGTTCCAATTCCTTACGGTAACGTTTTATATTCTTCACTAAAAGGTCCTTCCGTGTTAACTCGTAATGATTTGTTGTCGTCCATTCTGTAGCCGGTTTCCACGCTGAATATATTTCTGCACGATTGTGTGACAGCCCTATAAGAGTAGCATCTTTAAAGTCACTAAAGAAATTTTTATTCTTTCTTGTACATTGTGTAAAAAATTCGAAAAAAGTGACCGTAAAAAAGGTATCCTTCGATATTGTTCGAATTATGTTTTAAACATTTTTCATATCGTTAGAAGCAGATGAGATATTTAGATGTTCGGTTGATGCTTAGACATCCTCTATAAAAACATAATTATTACCAATAAAAATTCCAGTCATCTTCAGGACCAACTTGAACCCATCCCCTCTTCTCGAAATTATGAACTATCACAGACTTGTCCACATCTGTGCAGAACGAGACTTTGATCTTCTCCGTTCCACTTGCCGATACTCTGTAAACGTTTAGAACTTTTCTAAAAGAAAAAGAGAAAGACGGCTAATCGCTAGTTTTGAAACAATCCCTCCCCCAGTCGCATGATTCTTCATTTTTATTGGTTTAAATTTATGTTTGATTCTTCAATTTTTAATCACACCCTTTTTGCTGTTTTCTTTTTACCTGCCATAATTGGTAGTCACACTTAAATTTGTCACACGTTTACTTTCCGTAACAGTACCCGACGCCATTCGTTTTGTTATCCGTCAGTTAGATCGATTCACCGTGGATACACGAATTTTGAACATTTCACGTTCCCGCGCACGAGGAATGCGATAATAATGTAGCAAATGTAATTTGAAAGCAAAATTTAATTTTGTCATGGTTGGTCAATATTCCACATTCAATTTACGGTATTATTTATTGTCCTACTTTCTTTCCAGCATGATTCGCGTGTATTTAAAATTTATCTATTTTACAACACGTAGTTGTGCTTACATTCCTTTATAATATATAGCTATAATTCATTTTAACATTGACTGTACCATTTCAATATAATCATAGGGTTTCCAATCTATTATGGTACTAACAATACTATGTTATTAGTACTGCTAGTTTTTAAAACGCTGAATTAAATCGATGCATGGTTAATTATCAATTATCATTTTATTTTACCTTCTTGCCATGTTTACTAGCGTTATAATATCCTTTTGATCGCAAATTAATCATAATTTTGAAGGGTTCGATTATTTTCCTTAGAAAATAATATCTTGCAAGACAAAGGATCTATTGTGGTTATATTGCGACAGATCCACGTTCGACCCTACTCGAATTGTTAGATTCATGGTAAACAACGACGGGTCGGATTCAAGTGTTTACTGCTCCTTTATTTTTTTTTTATCCTCTGTCGGTCGAACATTCACGTGCCACAAATGCGTCAGCGTGTCGACCGGTAAGACGTACGCGATTGTGCAGTATCTTTTATCTAAAGAAAAAATCATTTCAAAGTTGTGATATCCTGAAGTTGTGCTATTATATACAGATGATTTCACGATTTTGCCTCATCTTTCTGTCATATTGGTGTGTATTCGTGCGAAAGTAATCATTCAAAGTACATAATAGTGATTTACGATCAGCCGCATTGCAAAACACGGTTAATTTCCAAACAACGTATATATACATCCAAAAGAAGTAAAAACATAAGAAGGTATTCAAAACTTCGGAAAAGAAAAACAGTAGAACGACGATAGGTGTTGACGGGTACTTTTTGGTTGATTTGAAAGTTTCGAATAAAAGTTTTTTTCGTGATCGTAACATGTGTCCATTTATAAATGGTAAACGTATAGTTGAAAGTACAGTTTTATTTTGTTAAAGCGTCGCGAATTAAGCGTTAAAAGCGAGGCACAAAGAGACGATTATTACTAGCGAACCGGAAATTAAACGCTACTCGAGAGCACCAAAAGCGTCGCGACTCTTAACGAGTGAATCATATTTGCACATTGGAATTTGTGTCATGAATTTACGATTCCAGATACGTCTTTCGTTAACTATACATTTCAATTATAAATGCAGGCATGCAGGATAGAGAGTATTAATTAAAATTGCATAAGTTTTTCCCTGTTCTGATTGCTAAGTATTTTTAAATAAATATAAGAATAATTTTCGTATGTTTTGTGTGTTGTTTATTGAGTAATTACACTTGTAATAAACGTTGAATACTTTAATTAGGTAGAAACAGTTAAAATGAATCTCAATTCTATATCTGACAAAAACACTGTGAGAGTGGGTAGGGGAAGAGGAATAGCTCAAAGCTATTTACCTCACAACAAATGCCTTTGTGACAGACCACACTGTTTTGTGCTATGCAATGTTTGTGGCTATTGGACAAAGGGCAGAGTGCGTTATTTCTGCCCTGTTCATCCAAAGGTGTGTTACATTAATATAACATGTTTTTAAGTGTAGTAGTATGAATTGAAAGAGATCATTTGCATTCTCCTTTTATTAAATTTTAATGTTAACCTTTATGATTTTTAGTTAATTTGTTTTGATAATTTTTTTTATCCTTTCAGATAGTTTTTTTATTTGACATTGCACAATGTCCCCAATGCAAATCCTATGGTTTCATGTTAAGTGAATATTAAACACGTAAAAAACTACATATATCTATAACATGTAGACATCTTTTATATCTATTTTCTTTATTTAAATTTATTTTCAATGTGATGATAAAGTATCAATTTAAGTTATTGTAATCAATGAAGAGTATAAAAAGGAATAAATACAAATTGATTTGATTAAACTTTATTTATTTTCTTATCAGACTAACAAATTTATTATACCTTAAACCAAGTAGGAAATCCTGGCATTTTAGAATCTCCTTTAAAATCTTGGAAATTTTTTTTGTGTTCATTCATTGTTTCTTTCAACTGCGATTTATCTGTGTTATCTTCAGGCAATACATTAGGAAATGTAAATGTTTCACCTTTAGGCTGCAATTATAGCAAATGTATTAATTCATAATATGTAATCTATTATTTAATATCCAGAATGTTTATTTCAACAAATGTTTTAATACTTTTTAATACTTACTAGCGTAACATAAGCTATCTTTACATCATCATCCTTGACAACAAAATTTGTTGGTTTATGTGTTTTTCCAAGAGCAATCCTGGTGTTCACTTGAATGGGATGTATATCATAGATTTTTTCTAAGTAATTTTTTACATCAAACCTTGTCATTTCCATTGAACAGTGAAATTGTATTATATTGTTTGGTTGGTTACGTTCTGGCTTTACAAGTTTTAACCAGAAGTTTGGAAGAAACACTCTAAGCTGTGGGTTACCTTTCTGATAAAGAGGATACCTGTAACATAAATAAAAATCATATCAGTAAACTATAAAACAATTGATAAAGATTATATTTTTTAGATGCTTTCACAAGTATCAATGCTACTCTTTCGTAAGAGCAATGCACACTTACCAACGAGTTGACATTTTATTTTCGTTGAATAAACTTAAAATATATTTCAAATTCTAATGATTTGTTTATTTAAATCTTTTGTATACTAAATATTTATTATATGTAAGTAAAATTATATAGTTAATTCATAATATGATTGAGGTTGAGTTAATTTTTGTTGATGGATTGTAGATGGCGGTAGAGGTTACGCTACCAACTTTAATACATTCCATATTTTCAAATTTTATTCACGTTTAATTAAAATCGATATTAATTCACTCCTGTTTAATCTTTTATGCTATATGGCTGTAATAGTATTTATGCATTTTTTAATAAGAATACTTGAACATGTTCATTTTGTTTATATTGATTTGCATCGCATATTTTCGATTTCCAATCTTTTATTTTTTCGCGCCGTGGCGGAATCGTGACTCGAATCGATTCGATAATCGATTTTGCTAAACATTCAGCTTTTGAACCCATTCAGTGCTGTAAAAAAGACGTCCAAGTGTGTTTCGGCAATGATTTCTTTCTTTGGCTAAATTGACAAGAATATGGTTCACGAAATTGCTTCGAATACGGGTCCACTTTGACAACGAAACACGTTTTAGGAAATCGGAAACTTTTACGTTAAAAACAATTTCACTCTCGTGGGTTAGATTGAACGTTCAAGGAATTCCATCGGAAACATTCTTAATCGAAGATGAGCTGCGATTTGCTACCAGAGTGGTTGAATCTCTTCTTGGATGATGTAGAAACTACTTTATGTTTACCGATATTACTCATTATGGTTCATTGTACTGTTCAATTTATAATTAACCACGCTATGGACATTGGCCTGACGTTTTACCAAACTGTAATACAGAAATCGGATGAAGAAGAGGCAGAGGAAGTGGAATGTGACAACGCAAAATGTGGCCAAGATCTATTGAGCAAGATAAAAGGTTCTTTTATGTTGTTTAAAAATAAATTTTGATATTGAAAGAAAATAATTTGTAGGAAGATTATTTGGATATTAGGTTTTCATGAATGGTTTTTAAACTGCTATCTTTCATAGGGTTCTTTTACAATTTGTCTCTCGGTTTTAATACCGATTCGAAACCGGAAGAGAGGGCGCCACCATCATTGGTTAGGCCAGCTTTGCAAGAAGAGGACTGGGATTATTGTGAGGAGGATGACGAAGAAAATTTATAAATGTATATCGTTCGGAAAAATCATAAACTTTATGGGTAGCTACTGAAGTGACATATTTTTTACTGCATGAACTTGAAAAAATTGAATTGCACAGTGATTGAAAAATCGTCAATAAACAATCTAGCAATAGAACATAAAATAAAACGAATTTATATTTTCTAATAAACGTAGACTTACTTAAATTTAATTAAAAAATAATACTATAGTATAAAAAGTAAAAATCTCTTACCTTTGATTCTTCAGAGGAATTCAGGTTCACCACAGTAATCGCCATATTTGTCTAGTGATAAAAATAAAATAAAAAGGGGCTGAAAAAAAGATAAGGTGGAATGAGACAGAGAAGGCGTGATGTAAACTGGAAATGTGTATTTCTTTTTCGTTTTATGTGAAGCAAGAAAAAACGTCATTGATTTCCTTTTTATTATACTTAGCCCTCTTAAACACCGTTATGCCAGTTCAAGGGTTCAAAGCTACAAAGAACCAAGTCCGAGTTTCTCATTGTTCGATACTTTTTACTTTGTCTCCGTTTAATGAAAATTCATTGAACGTCAGGAAAGAAACAGGTGTACAAACATCGTATCTGAACACTCGTTGAGCCTCGATCCAGCCTGACGATTCACAAGTTTCGCCACTTTTTTTCTGTAAAGACTGGACTTGGTCCATTATGAAACATTTTTTCCTCCCTCCAATGATAATTCGTCACCACTCACTTACATGGATAGTTTTACTCGTACACTTGCATATCGATCTCGTATTAAAATTAAGCGGTGTTCGACGTTCGATTAAACAAGTCACCATAAACGGTTTACACTAAGACAGACCGTCCCGTGGCTGTGCACGTCTTTTTCCCTATATTTTATATTTATCTGTCTTTTCGTAACAATATTAATTGAACCGCCGCCTTGTCCGGCGCTTGTTTTCATTTTAAGGCTGTGTCTTTCTTTCGTTTGTTACGTCACCTCTTTCTTCTGGTACACCCGGTACATACCTTTGCGTCTACTCAAGGAACAAATACAAAATGAACTTCTGTCAAGTATAAAATTAATAAAAAAAAATACGATCACCTCGAGAGAAAGAGATGTACACCAGAGAGAAGAGGCGACGCGGTACATGTACATCATGATAATCCACACAACTCACACAACGTGAATTCGCGTAATCTAGCAACGATAATGGTAAGAAGAAGAGTATCAGCAGCGATAAGTGTATTAAATAGTGTTACAGTAACGTTAGTTATAATGTAAACGGTAGAAATCTAGTGTCTTTCATCGTGGCGGACCTCCAGAACCATCGAATCCTCCTAGACACCTTCGTTGCTCTTATTATTAGTGTCTTAGCGCCTGAAAATCTATAACGTACCAATTTCCATTCGTACCAAAATGACCATTTATATACCCTTTTCAATTACACACAAGAGGAACCCTATAAACTATAATAATTCATATCAATCTCCTCCCATCGACACTCATCCATTATCATCCAATGAACCTCCAAGTAAACTTCATTCCCATTCAATTTCACAGAGAACCAAATTCTCCCCTCCAGCCATCTCATCCATATAATTTTCTCGATCTTCGATTCACAAGAACACCCATGATTGCAGCGTCACATGAAAACGTTATCCAGCCCGGACACGTTCTTCCTGGTCGGCGTGGAAGTGGCGCAACTGACACCTTCATCCTCGAACGTGACCATCTTCTCACGACTTCTGGTTGCTGTACCAGAACATTCTAACAGACGTGATTGATTCGACGAGGTGGATTGATTCGCGGTTGAAGCTACTGGAGGTGTTATGGCTGCGGGTGGCCGGAGAACGGAAGTGGGAGGTGGTGGTGGTACCGCCATGTCTGTGACCGCTGCAGCGGCCAAATTGAACTCGCTGACGCTTCTTGGCACGAAGTATTCAAAGTGTAGAGATGTGCTCTCTTGTTGACGATGTTGATGATGTTGTTGATGATGGTATTGTGTTGGCGAGAGACAACTGCGTCTTAACGATTGGGCGCGTTGAAATTGTTGACCCGATGAGTTTCTCGTTTCAGATGGTGTCTTCTTGCGCGGTAGGGAATGATGGCCAGGTGATGGTTTTATGGCAGTGTTGGACGAGTGGGCCAGGAGCTTCCCGTCCCCGGGACTCCTGACCTGATGCTGTCAGGATGTTGGCACCATGGACATGGCGATTCCTTCTTCCTCTTGCTCCGACAACCGCGAGTCGCTGATGCCTCCACCGTCGTCCAGGTCGACCTTGAGCCCAGAACTTGCGCCTGTGCAGAAAGTAAGATGGGTTATGGAGGTTTGTGGTGATTTCAGGATTATGATATAAGGTTTTATTGTTATTTTATTTATATTTCTTTATTTCATTGTTTTGTGGAGTATTGTTTCTTAGTGAAGGGGTTATGCATAGTGGTCAAGATGCCCG